CAGACTTAGGAGAAGAATTGGCCTGGCTGCAGCCCTACCCCTATCTTTTGTGCCACCCTGACCACTGACCTCCATTTCTGCCCCAACCCTGCCCATCCCACCCCAGTCCCTAGTTCTGCCTCTACCCTGGTCCCAGCCCCTGCTCCTACCCCAGCCCCTGCCAAGCTCCTCCTGGCAGCAACCTCTTCCGCCTTCCCCAGGGTGTCCTGCTCAGCATGAAGAGGACCCCTCTGTCCCCTCCTGGTTTAGGGTTAGTCCATCGTCCCACCATCCTCTGTGCCGGAGATAAGCCCCCGGTCTCCGTGCATCCCCCGGCCCTCTCCCTGCCCCTGCCCCTGCCCCACGGCCACAAGAATATGTCCTAATAACCTTCATAGCAAGAGCTACACTTACTCTGATCCACCCTGCGGCAGGCACTGCCAAACGATCCTGCTGGGTTTTCACTCTAATCCCCAACAGCCCTGGAATTATGTAACCCCATTTCATGATGGGAAAACATATGTCCTCCCCAACCCTGGTAAAAAGCTTGTTTGACAGTCCCTGCTATGTCCCCCGGGACGCCTGTCCACAGCTGGAGAGGGCCCCGCGCCGCCCCGTAGTTGCTTTGTTTCAGGGAGAGGCCTGTGGATCTAGAAAAGGTCCACTACTAAGGTGCTTAGGAACCCACAACGTTTTAGGGGGATCTGGAGTGGGCGTGTGGGCAGGACCCCCAGTGGTTCTGGGCTGGGGTCAGTAGAAGGCCTGCTGCCGTTGAAAGCGACCTGGTGAGGCGTTGCGGCTTACGGCTGACCCAGTCGGCACCGTAACAGAGCCTGGGCTTAGGAGCTGGGCGTTGGCCCGTCGCAGGCGCTGTCCTCGGCTCTGTGCGCTTACTCATGCACGTAATCCTCGCAGCCTGATGAAGTTGGCACTGTGATTAGCCCACGTTGCTGTCGCAACCCTGTACCCCCTGCAAACTAAGCTTAATGCGCTCCACTGTCACCCACAGCTGAGCCTCAGCTCTTAAGCCTCTTTCCATGGGATCCTCCAAGTCCCCTGCCCGACGAGAGGTCCCCGTTACTCCCCAGCCCCGGGGGCATCACCCCGCAGCCCCAGCTCAGGGCAGATGGTGGCTGTCTCCACTGTGCCCCAGCCCCTGCACAACATCTCCAGCCGGGCTCTCCCGTGGGGCAGGCGGCCGGGAGCTGGAGCCTGGGGGCCTGCCCTCCCCTCTCCCCGTCAGGCCGTTGTGGGAAGAGGCCCCGAGCTGCCCCTGAGCTGACTGCTGTTGGTGTGAGGTGTGGAGGGGAAGGCAGCTTGCAGATTGGGGCTCTGCCCACTCTTTTCCCCTCCTTCCTGGCCATGAAGTCCTGTGCCACCTGCCCTCTGCTCCCCCCTGTTCCTCCCCGGTGGTGGCCAGGCCTCCCAGGAGTGCAGAATGACGCCCCATGTCCCTGAAATCTCCTCCCCAACCCTCCATTGTCCTGCTCCTCAGGAACCTTCATCCCCTTTATTTTTTTTTTTAAATATACCTTTATTGATTTCAGAGAGAGGAAGGGAGAGGGAGAGAGACAGAAACATCAGTGATGAGAGTCGTTGGGGATTGAGCCCGAAACCCAGGCATGTGCCCTGACCGGGAATAGAACTGGGATCTCCTGGATCCTAGGTAGACACTCAACCCCTGAGCCACGCCCGGCCGGCCTTCACCCTTTTCCTAGATCCACAGGACCCCTCTCCCTAGACACTCCAAGTCCAGCCAGTCACCCCCATCTACTCTGATACCCCCAACCACCCAGGATCGGCTTAGATACCTCCATTCACACAGATACCCCAGGCCCACCCCTGTCCACCCAGATACCCCGGCGCTTCAGGTATTTCTGGTCCACTCGGATACCCCTGACCTATCCAGACGGCCCAGTCCCACCTGTGGACCTTGTCGTCACCCCAGCCGGCTCACCAGCCCCCCAAGAGGAACTCTCATTAGGGGCTTTCTCTAATCTCCTGCTCCCGCCCCCAGAAAAGGACCTTGACGAGAGAAGGTTCTAGGGTCTTTAACAGAGAGCAGTCGAGGGAGGGGGCCCCATCTCTCACCTGTGTGGCTCCCCCAGGCTTCGTGGACGGTCTAGTTCCGTCTGAGCCTTGCTTTTATTTGCAGCTGCCACGCCCTAAGCAAACCCGGGCAAAGCTGGGCAGGTAGAGAACAAGTCAGACTGCCTGAAGCACAGGGGCCTCCCGTTCCTGCCCTTAAAGACACAGCTCCTGCCACGGCCCCACCTGGGACAGGGAGCTCCCTGGGGTCCCCGTCACAGCAGCCTCAGGGGAGCTGCAGTGAGAATAGGATGGGCCTGGGCCGGAGCTTGCTCCCCACCCCTGGCATTGGGGGGGGGGGCTTTCTCCAGTCTCCTGCCCCTCAGAAAAGGACCTGACAGGCAGAAGGTCCAAGGCCTTTAATGGCAGAGTGTGGGTCTGGGGGTCGGGCATGGTGGTGGCGAGGGCTATACAGTGGTGTTACTGCCCAATTACTTTTACTCGGATGTGTGTTGTGCTTGGAGGAGGGATTGGCGGCAGCTATGGGAGAGCTAACACCCTCTTCCAGGCCTTGAGGGTCAACAGAGATACTGATATGACCAAGGCTCTAAGGTGGGGGCGGGGCTGTTGGGCCTTAGACCACGACCCCTCCCCTCTTGTGCCCAGCGAGCCCCCGGGAGACTGGGAACTGGCTGCCCAGCTCCAGGCCAGACCTTCCTAGCCCCGGGCTTTCCCCTAGATCGCTGGGAGCCTGGGGCTCCACAGTGGGCCTTGGGTAGGGGCTGCCTTCCTCTCCGGATGAGGCCCAGCTGCACTGTGCACAGCTCCTTCCCCTCCCCTCCTCCCTCTCGGCATTCCTTCCGGCTGGGGTCTGTGCATGCCCCCACATGGTCCCCGTTGGGGTGCCCCCTCCCCCAATTCTGCCTTTTCAGACAGAGAGACTTTTGTCTGGGGCTGGATAGAGAACAAGGCCCCTTTGAGTGGCTGGTGGAGGATTGGGGTCATGGGGAGGGGCAGGGCCAGGAAAGGGGTGGCTCTGTGCTGGTCACCAGCTGGACTCCAGGCGACCCCCAACACCATTGCAGGGCTGGGGAGGAGGGCTGCAGGAACCAGGCCAGGGAGAGGGTACTGTGGGGAGGGTGGAGTGCAGGATAGGGAAAAGGGGTTTGGAGGTCAAGGCTCTGCTGGGGCTGTCTGCTGGGGGCAGGGAGAACAGACCCCCCACTTCTCAGCAGGGAGGGGCAGAGAGGCAGCAATGTTCACCCAGTTACATGCTTTTTTATGTGATTCCCTCAGGCAATTTCTCAATCCCAGGCCCTAGCTAGGGCAAGCTTCCCCCAACCCCTCCCATTCAGGAGGGGCCAGTGCCTACAAGAAGTGGAGGGGACACTCTGGGAGGGTGGGGCTCCATCAAAGCAGGAAATTCGGGGTGGGTGGAGATAGAAACAGAGGAAGGGGAGGCATGGGGGGATCCC